AAAAAAAAAAAAAAAAAACCAGAATGAATGAAATGTAATTGCATTCTCAAAAGAACTTACTCTTTCATGGAAAGAACAAGAATATAAGTATACATAAATACAGTACAGAGAAAATAGGGCAATAATGGCATAAATACCTTCCATGCATGTACAAAAGGAAAATCAATTACTTTTAGTTTTGTGGGATTAAAAGATAAGTAGGATTTTAAGTCACTGGGGTAAGGGGAAGACCATTCTATAGCAATGACACTCACAAGACAAAACAGCAAATAATTGGGTATGACTGGTGCTTGGGGTATGGTGTAATGGAGGATGGAATATAAAAAGTAAGCTGTAAAGAAGTTGAGAACCAGATCACGTACAACTTTGATTACCATGTTCAGGATTTTCAGCTTCATTTTATAGGCAATGGGAAATGATTTTTGATGAAAGGAGTAACACAACTTGACAAATGCTTTAAAGGGATTCAGAACACTGGCAGCAATGAAACAGACAAGGCAAGAGAATGGAGGTATTATTTCCAATCAGAGGGCCATTTCAACAGTCAATACAAGATAAATGGCTAAGGGGAATGTGAGTGGGAATGGAAAAGCAAGGCTCTGTAGGGACAGAATTCTCAAGATGTGACAGCTCCTTGGATGAAGGGAAGAACACTCTAACACGTCTCTCTAGGGTTTCTAGGTTGGGAGACTGTTAGATGATACCATTAGTTGGAACAGAGCACACAGCAGAATATGGACTCAGAAGAGAAGTTAAGGAATTCAGCTTGGCTCCCATATAATTTGAGGTATGAAGATGTCCCAGGAGATAGAGGAGGAAATGGTATGAGGGATAAAGAAAGGGATGGAGATGTAGCCTCAGAAATCATGACACCGTAAAAGCCCTTCAAGTAATTTACATGGACCAGGGAGACAAGGTAAAGAGAGAAGACAAAGGGACCGCAGCTTTATATAACTGCTGCTACTCACTTGAGTGAACAAGTTAAGAACCAGCAAGGAGGAACAAGAGATTAACAATATAACCAGCTTTCTTCATCAGCCACCCTTCAATCTGAATACTGCATTTCATCAGTTCCAAGGTACATTTTAGTATCTCTGCAACTGGGCTGCAACTGCTGTTGGCCCGGTGATGGTCATTACAGTTGGCATGGTCTACGTATGTGCGAGGGTGACAACAGTTCTTTGTACCGTCACTGTTTGACTCAAGGCATGTGCATTGTTGGTTTCACATGAAGAGGGAAAACTGTTGTGTGTACACAAGCAGGAAGAGTAGCTGAGGGCATAAAACTCATTAGTGAAGCAGATACTCATTGAAGAGCTGACCGCAATTCCTTTTTTTTTTTTTTTTTTTTTTTTTTTTTTTTTTTTTTTTTTTTGGCAAAGCAACAACCAAATGAGAAAGGAAAATAACCACAAAGTAGACAAAGCTGTATCAAAGATGATGATGTAGAAACTACCTCCTTTTCTATCTCAAGTAATTCAGTTGAAACCAGGAGTATTAGAGAAGATAAAAATCTATGTCTAACTAAGCCTAAAGAAGCTATTTTGATACATACAAAACAAAAATTGTAAAAGGGGCGCCTGTGGCTCAGTCAGTTAAGCATCCAACTCTTGACTTCCGCTCAGGTCACAATCTCAGTCATGAGATCAAGCCCGACATCGGACTCTGTGCTGAGCATGAAGCCTGCTTGGAATTCTCCCTCCGTCCCTCCTCTGCTCACGTACTCTCTCACTCTCTCTCTCTCTAAAATAAATAAATCAACTTAAAAACAAAAACAAAAATTTTAAGTAGTAAGAAGTATACTGTGCAGCATTTTTAAATTTCTTGGTGGTATACAAAATAGTGATTTTTGGGGCGCCTGGGTGGCACAGTCGGTTAAGCGTCCGACTTCAGCCAGGTCACGATCTCGCGGTCCGTGAGTTCGAGCCCCGCGTCAGGCTCTGGGCTGATGGCTCGGAGCCTGGAGCCTGTTTCCGATTCTGTGTCTCCCTCTCTCTCTGCCCCTCCCCCGTTCATGCTCTGTCTCTCTCTGTCCCAAAAATAAATAAACGTTGAAAAAAAAAAATAGTGATTTTTACAACTGAAAGTATAAATCCAGGAAATCTAAAAGAAGTTTAACACTAGCCACATACTTGAATCTAAACACAATTACAGGGGCTCCTGGGTGGCTCAGTCAGTTAAGCATCCAACTTCAGCTCAGGTCATGATCTCACGGTTCATGAGTTTAAGCCCCGTTTCGGGCTCTGTGCTGACAGCTCAGAGCCTAGAGCCTGCGTCAGATTCTGTGTCTCCCTCTTTTCTCTGCCTCTCTCTCTCTCAAAAATAAACATTTAAAAAAAATCTTTAAAAACAATTACAGACTAAAGTCACAAGTGTACAAATTTATAAAACAAACAAACAAACAAAAAAACAAAGAAAGGCTGTTTCCTAGCCTCTAATAGTCCTTTTTAGCTCAATACTTGAGGTCTACTTTTATCGTATCCATCATTTAACTCAACAAATAGTAACTAAGCAGCCACCAGTACCCACCAGGATGCTAGGCATCCATCCAGGCTTTCCCTCTAGGACCAGCAGAGACGTTAAGCAGGAGAGTCTGTCCAGCTGAAGATACACCAGTCCTACTCATCATAAGACACTCCAGTACCACCTGGTTCTAGTTCTAGGTGTGTGTCTTATTCTCCTAAGCTTGTGCAGCCCGGCAATATTCTTGGTAATGTGCCAGGCAGTCCCCACAGAACTGCTCCAGAATGAGGCCCTGCCATGCTCTTGGTAGTCCCCCACGAAGCTCCCCCACAGAGGTGGCGCCCCTATGCCTTAGCGGCTTTCCTAATGCCAACTGTTCACTGTCTCCACTATTTGCAAACACTCTTCACTCTCAACTTTCTCACTGCCTCATTCTACTTCCGTGCCAGGATGCTGCATTTACTAACTTACCATCTGCTGTCTGGTCTCATAGCCATTGAATAACATGTTCTGTGTCACAGCCTGGATGTCCTGTAGCTTCAGTTTCTACCAATGACTGTTCTGTCCAGCGCTTGAGTCTAATTCTGAATCTCAACCTCTCCCGGCCATGCGTCTAACTATCCAACAATCACTTATTGAGCATCTTTGTTCTAAGCACTGGGGATACAGCAATGGACAAAAAATGTTCCTGCCTTTGTAAAGGTTATGTTCTAGTAAAAGGATACTGACAATAAATAAAATAGTAATACAATGAGACAGACATAAATGTTAGGAAGAAAAATAAGGTACAGTCTGAGGATAAAAAGTGACTGGGCAGGGAGGAAGTGGAAGGCTTCTTTGATGACGTGACATTTGATCAGAAACCCGAATGAAATGAAGGAGAGAGGCATGTAGAAACCAAGGAAAAGAACATCCTAGGAAAAGAGAAAAAAAACAAGTGCAAGGCCCACGAGGTGAGAGCATACTTCAAGGGTTGAAGAAACAGCAAGAAGGCCAATGTTGCTGAAACTCTGGAAGTAAGGAGAGGGTACAAGATGAAGCTGGAAAAATTACAAGGCCAGATCAGGAAGTCTCATAGGCCGTGATAAGAATGTTAGATTTGGGAAAAAAAAAAAAAAAAAAAAAAAATGTTAGATTTGATTGTAGATGTGCTGGAAAGCCATTGGAAGGTTTTGACCAGGGAACTAAAGTGACCACAAGTGCATTCTCTAAAAGGCCTCTAGGGGCGTCTGGGTGGCTCAATGGGTCACTTAAGTGACTGGCTCAGGTCATGATCTCACGGCTCGTGAGTTCAAACCCCGTGTCGGGCTCTGCGCTGGCAGCTCGGAGCCTTAAGCCTGCTTTGGAGTCTATGTCTCATTCTCTCTCTGCCCTTCCCCTGCTTGTGCTCTGTCTCTCAAAAATAAATAAATGCAAAAAATAAAAAAAAATTTTTTTAAATAATAAAAGGCTTTTATAAGACATTCTGGAAAATATGAAATTACAGGGACAGGAAAACATCAGTGGAGATACTTAGGGGTAGACTACAGAGGGGTAGCACAAGAGAATTTGGGGGGATTCACAGCAGATCTTCATTATGGTGGCGGTTATAGGGATGTATGCACTGTCAATCTCACAGCATTGTGCACCCAAGAGTGGATTTTACTGCACATAAACTCAAAGGAAGTGGGACACACACAGCCTACTCGGACTGCTGTGTGAACAGGACATCTGGGTGCAGATAAGAAGGGGGCAATAAGAAGGAGACCAATTAGGAGACTATTACAATAATCCAGACCAATTCGAGAGCAGAATGGTAGCAGTGGAGTTGGCAAAACGTGTCCGGATTCAAGACAGTTTGAAAGCAGAGCCAAGAGATCTGCGTAGGTTTTATCACCCAGTATTAAGTCTCTCACTGGGGGACTGATGGGGTACAAACGTTGCTATACTCAGACGTAATCTTTAACTTACAACAGTCCTTGTGACACATTTAGCTGGTGGCAACACCAGGATCAGAGCCTTAGACTATGAGGTCCTGGTCCAATGGCCATTCAGTTACCCTGCTGCTCCCCTGAAACTGTAAAATGCTTGCAGAGGGAAAGAATTGTCTTACTCAGCTTTTTCACACATATACCTTGCATACTACCTTGCAAATAGCAGAACTCAGCAAGTATCTAGGTAAAAGTAATAAAAATGCACTTTTTAAAAATAATGATGTAATTCAGATAGTCCACTAATTCCGATTTACCTCTCCTTCCAAATTACTCTGAATTAATTAGGGCTTATGATACTAGCATTAACAGAAGCAATAGTTAAGTTCAATAGAATTATAGAAAGGGTTGGCTTTTGGCCGAAATCTTATCAAATATCCAAGACATTCACAGAATTGAATATAAAAAAGCAAAAATCTAAAGAAATGGGGCGAAGAAAGCTTGAAAAATCTGTTAAGTGTAAGAAAATGTACCTTAAGGCAAAGACAGGTATAGAATAAGGATAGATAATAAACAAAATAACTATATGTTAGTAACTACTAAATACCTTCTAGAATAGTTTTTTTTTAAACTTATTTTTAATTTATTTTTTGAGAGAGAGAGACTGGGTGCATGTGACTGGCCCACCCAGGCACCCCTAGGACAGGTTTTTTTTAATTTTTTTTTTTTTAATGAGGCTATGAAGGGGCACCTGGGTGGCTCCGTCAGTTAAGGATCTGACTTTTGATTTTGGCTCAGGTCATGATCTCACAGTTCATGAGATTAAGTCCCACAGTGGACTCTGTGCTGACAACAGGGAGCCTGCTTCAGATTGTCTTTCTGCCCCTCCCCTGCTGAAGCGCATTTTCTCTCTCTCTCAAAATAAATAAATAAGCATTATTAAAAAAAAAAAAAAAAAAAAAAAAAAAAAAAACACCCACTCTTTAAAAACAATAATAAAAATTTAAAAATGAAGCTATGAAATTTACTCAGTGGGTCATGACAAGTATGTTTACATATTATATATTACATTATCTTACATTACATTACATTATATGATATATGATATTTTACATATTTACATACAGTTTGTACCAAGTCACAAAATATTTTCTACTGTGGACTGCTATCCAAAGTTTGAAAGTCTCTGCTGCCGAAAATAAAATCTGAACTCACCATTTTTTTGGCATGTTCTTCACACAGAGGGGTCTGGTGTGTAATGTCAAACACGGGCACAGAGCACTGCTGTCCGTCTGCAAACTTGGCCGTGCAACTTGAGAAAAGCTGCTGAGAGCGGTTCAAGAGGATATCTGTGTTTTTCAAAGTTAAGAATGTAATACACTGAAACTCAAATTACTTTTTAAAATTTGTATATAAAATCTGCTTCTTCCCTTATGTTTAGCAAGTAATACATTTTCTTATCTATAAAAGCTAAAGAATGAACCCAACTACTGATGTGGGAAAATGGTAATTGTTGAATTTATCAGAAGATAAAAGAGTCTGTTTTGCTAAAGGACTCCTAATAGGTGTCTCTTTAATAGCCTTTCTGATTTTTGTTATTTGGAAAAAGGAGGGTCGTTTAAGTCTTCACACACTATTAAAAGTTGCACTATAATGGTAAAAAAAACAAAAACAAAAACAAAAAACTTTAAGGAAAACTTTTTGCATACAATCCTCAGTAAGAATGGGGCACCTGGGTAACTCAGTCGGTTAAGTGTCCCCAACTTCAGCTCAGGTCATGATTTCCTGGTTCATGAGTTCCAGCCCTGCGGCCGGCTCTGTGTTGACAGCTCAGAGTGTTGACAGCTCAGAGAGTGGAACGTGCTTCAGATTCTGTCTCAGTCTACCACTGTCCCTCCCCCACTCACCCTCTGTCTCTCTCTCTCTCTCAAATATAAATATTCTTTAAAAAGAATAAAAATTTTAATTATATTTTAATTCTAAAAAACTCATCAATCCAAATTTGGATTTTTCATTTAGCATTTCCAACACAAAACTCAAACTTACAACTTATGAAAACTTACTTTTAGATCAAAACCATACCATTAAAATTGGAACATCAGTTTTATTTATTTATTTTTTTTAATAATGCTTTTACTTTTATTCTTGAGAGAGACAGAGCGTGAATTGGGGAGAGGCAGAGAGAGAGGGAGACACAGAATCCAAAACAGGCTCCAGGCTCTGAGCTGTCAGCACAGAGCCCGACGTGGGGCTTGAATTCGGGAATGGTGGGATCATGACATGAGCCGAAGTTGGATGCTTAACTGACTGAGCCACCCAGGCGCCCCAGAACATCAGTTTTATATCATAAACATTTTTAAGCATCCAAACTTTTAGCCCCTGGCTACATATTCTAAGACTTATTTTATACCTATCAAGAAAGTACCCTTCTGTTTTTCCTTTTTGCTTTTATAGTTAAGGCGATTTGTAAAACTACATAGAAAGTGATGCTGAAAAAGTGAAAATTTAATCCCAAGAACAGAAAGGAAGGCAAAAAGTCAAAGACAATAAAGAACAAGTAACTGCTACTGTATAATTTTTTTAAATGCTACTCAATTTTAAATGTTTAATAAAACGGAAAATAGTAAGACTTCATAACCAGCCTGAATGAAACCCTTTTACCACAGGTTTCCTTCTAGTATATTCTGTCTTAATGTATCTTTTTTCCCAGTCAGTGAAGTTCATCCTTCCTTCATTTCAAATCAGCACTGTACCCAACACAAATAGCAAACTATTCCCAGAGCAAAAGGCACACTGTAAAATTGTATAACTTTCTTGGAAGATTAAAAACAGTTTTTGAATAATATGATTTGATTTTTCCATCAATTGAGTGTTATATATAGTTGCTTCTTACAAGCTACTTAAGAGGCACCACAAGAACCAGAATTCTGTTAACAAAATTTAATCAAGTGCCAGCCACTGGAAGAATCTGCTACTTGCCGTCAATTTTGCCAAGTTTGATGTAATTCTTGAAAAAGAATCACAATGACGTAAGCAGAGAAGAAGTATCCAGAAGACATCATGAAAATTAGAAGTTATATAAAAATTATTTTGAACATCAAATAGTTACGATTTCAAAAGTCATTCGCGTGGCTTAAGAATGAAATATGAACCCGAATGAATTCATACTTTTATGCCCACTCGATTAAGAGGATACGTTGGAAACAATGTCTGGTGAATGGAAGGGCTTTGTTAGGGCACTGTTCACCCTTCACGGTTCCACTGCATGCCGCTGGTTCCACCTCCCTCAACGTGGTCCGGCTTATGCTAAGGAAGGAAAAACACATTAATTTTTTAACAATGCGTTAGGAATCCAGGGCAACTTTTCAACGCTATGTCAGCAGAGTGCACCACCAACATTTTACTTTTCCACATTCATTAAATGAAAGGTCAATATGAGTTACGATGACCAGTTCCAATATTTCCCTAATTTACCGACAAAAGAAATAATTATAAATGATTTCCACTATGTCTGGTTTTTTTTCTTTCTTAAGTGACATTTTGGTTCCTTTTACTTCACAAAGAGGCAACAAGCAGACAAAAGTGATCAAGAACATGAGACTAGATTAATCGGGTCTAATTCTGAATCTCAGCCCTAACTCTTGCTAGCTGTGTGACCTTGGGCAAGTTACTTAGCCTCGCTTGAGTCTCAACTTCTTCACCTATAAAGTGGAGACAGAGTACCTTTAGTGGACAGGTAAGCACCAAGATACAACACATCCAAAATACTTATCATAAGTAGCAGATGGTAGGATACCTAGTAAACAGTCCATGGCTGTTAGTTGCTGGTATTATCATCATCATCAGATTTGGGCCATGTCAAGCTGCTGAACAGTAAATGTGCAAAAAACTTGATCTATGATGTGAGGAAAGGGATTATGATATGCAGAAATGATTGATTTGCTCTCATCTTCCAAAATGAACTCACTTTGGATATATTCTTTTAACTTTTTATAGTATGTGCAACTCCTTCTTTCATTAAATGTTATCTCCACTTGGCACATTCAATGTTTCAATGTTTAAATCTTGTTTTTAAATTTACGAATAGGCGATGTGTTCACATGGTTCCAGAAAAACCGAAGAATAAAAACCAAGCAGTGGAGAGTCTCCTTTCTCCCCTTGTCCCAATTTGCAAGTTCCTACTCCCTCTATAGTTAGTATTCATTTTATTAGTTTCTGGATCTTTCCATAGTTTTACACAAACATAAAAAAAATAAAAATATCCAAATTCTCAGAAGTACAAAACGACCCTGTTTGATTCTATAAAGCATCACAAACTAGTAGGCTTTTATGCACGTCTAAGCGTAGAAAAAGAATCTACGTAATACACTGAATCACAAGTCAGGCGTCAAAAACAAAATATCTTTTGAATTGTTTGTTTCTATATCTAAGGATTTTGATAGAATGGCTTACGCTAATTAGAAGGTCATACAGAACCAAAATTACATATGAATTTATAGCAAATCTAAACAACATTTCTATTATAACTTTCATATAAATAGTAACTGCAAACAGATAACCGGGGGCTGCCAGAGAAGTTGCTTTAATTGACAGTTCTGTAAGATTTGTCAGAATCACAAGAGTGGGGAAGTGGGCCATTAACTTCAGCTCTGTAAAAAGGATACACAATTTCAAATAAAGGAAACTTTACTATTTTGGCAGCTTAGCCCAAATTCTCTTGGTCTAGATTTAAATAGCAGGTAGTTCTCTATGCTGAATGGATAATTTTTGTAGAACACTTTTTAATAATTCGCTCAGCCATCTACAAAACCTAGGGTAGAGCACATTCCCTCATTTTCTTTATCCTACACTTCAAAAGGAACCACCGGTTTCATTTTTTAAAATTGCTGATCTATGTCTTAAAACAAACAGCAAAATAAAGTCAGTATAAATAAACTCAGAGTCAGAATTTCAATATGCCCCTGGATAATTAAGGTAAAAATGCCTGACATTAGATCTATTTTATTATCCAGATAATCCCAACAAAACAAAGGGAGAATTACCAAAACATTTTGATGTTTTTATTTATTTTTTATTTTACTTTTTTTTTTTAAATTTATATCCACGTTAGTAAGCATACAGTGCAACAATGATTTCAGGATTAGTGCCCCTTACCCATTTAGCCCATCCGCCCCCCCAACCCCTCCAGTAACCCTCAGTTTGTTATCCATATTTATGAGT